CCAATGAAAATAGAGATCTAGCGCTTTCCATTGCACCAATGATCACGCCATTTGGACAACTTTTAGAAAAATTCCGCCAATCCAAAAACAATGGGACAACTATTCCGGACCAGAGTAGTTTCATCGTTTTGTCGAAATTGGACATCTCCTTGAAGAGTTATGAGGTCTGAAATGGTGACCGATCCCAATCGGCCTTAACAATATTACACACATTATGTGCACCGCCCATGTCCGTGGACCTGCCGTCCCCGTTGCAACACGATCTCGTACCTGAACGTCTTGGGATGCCAAGACACGAGTATTCTCGGCTTCTGTTGGCATTAATTGTGTGTGGGTAATTGTGTCGCGTGAGTTTGGCGAGCCCGTCAGATGCAAACCTTTGTCAATACATGTTCGATCGAATTACAATTTACAGGTTGGCCACATTGATTGCAGATTAAACCACTTTGAATGAAATAGATTCCAGGTGTACTTCGACGTTCGAAGAAATTAAAACTTCGGAACAACATTGAACGGGCAGTGGTGTAGTTGCTTCGAGGCACGGGCGACGTGCTCAGGCACGTCTTGGCGGTCGTGGGCCACAGCTTGTTTTTCCATTCGGTTCTGGCGAGCGTTTTGCAGCCGTCCCTGCGAAAAACTTGTTTGGGTGGTGCGATCCGGCCACCGATAACATGGCGTCCATTCAAACCCACAGTACGGGTCGAGCTTCAAGTGATGCCATGCCCCGCGATGCACTCGTGGAAGTGTCCACCCGCGAAGACTGCACAGTGAACATGGCGGTGCGCACGACGACCAAAGGCGCTGCGGAGTCCATGGAAGAGACCAGCACCGACGACACCCAGCATCTCGCCCTCCCGTGCCACTCGCTCCCTTCCCTCGTATACTATGTGAGCCAACCCATCCTCCAAAGCAATCGCGATGCTGCGCCCGTGGCGGCCACATCCCATCGACACCACGCGGACTCTGTCACCAATGACAGCGACGACGGCGGTGGCGGCGATGGGAACGACGACATGGGGGCCGTCAAGTCGTAGGACGGTGGCAACGACATCATGGTCGACACCACTTTCGCCCAGAGTTTGCTCGCGATTACCTATAGGTGGTCGACCAAGTCGGTATGGCCGTGGTCGGTCGTGCACAGTTGGGTTGTACTTCCACACGTTGCTTTCACAAGGATGGCCGTGTTGAGTAAGACAATCGATAAAATTGCAATAGTCCACGTATGCTTCACACTAGCTGATCTCATAGCTCGTTACGTACGTAGGACACGGTGGGCAAGGCTTTCATGAACGACTTCCTGATCGTTTCTTCGCCTATCGATTCCCAAGCCGTGATGGTACGTTCGATCGTTTTCATTCGCTTTTCCGCAGCAGAACTCACGGGCACTTCACGCAACCATTGGGCACGCATTTTTGCCTTCTGAGGGCCAATCACCCCGACATAAAGTGGTTGGCAAACACTCGTCGTGTTTGCTGGCAGGGGCTCCAGAAACGAGTACAACTCGTTGTCCATGACCCGTCGTGCTGGGACGGACGCATGGGCTGACAAGTTATAATTGCGTATAAATTGGAAAGTGATTGATTAAGCCGAGGTTAAGATAGACTACGAGAATGTTCGCTTTCCAGAAATTCTGCATTAGGCAGCGCTAGGGTGATGTGGCTTCCATTTGCTTTCAATTGCGCAAGGCTAATGTAACATGCAGATGGGCTGATTATGTATGACGTGGCCGTAAGGCGATATTTGATTTGTGGATCAAAAGTTTCACGCCGATGTGGCTCAACATTCCCCTCTAATCGTGACGTTCTTGGTTGTTGCATGAGGAGATGGAGGTGACAATTCGCGCCTTGTGCTCTTCGACCTTGGGCCGCGGCAAAGCTTTCGTGAGCATGTCCGCAAGCATCGAATTGGTTTCGCAGTACTTGATCTTGATGGTA